CTGGTCAGACTCTTTCATCGTGATCTGGTGGTAGCCTGAGTAGGCATCTAGAAAGGAGAGGATTTTGCATCCTGAGGTGGAGTCGACTATCTGGTCTATGCGTGGCAAAGGAAAGTGGTCCTTTGGACATGCCTTGTTGAGGCCAGTATAATCAACACACATTCTCCATTTCCCATTCTTCTTTTTCACAAGAACAGGATTAGCTAGCCAGTCGAAGTGGTATACTTCTTTGATGAATCCGGCTGCCAGGAGTTTGGCGATCTCCTCGCCTATGGCCCTGCGCCTCTCATCGTCGAAGCGACACAGGCGTTGCTTGGCGGGCTTTGAGCCCAGGACGACACGTAGTGCGTGCTCGGTGACCTCCCTTGGTATGCCTAGCATGTTAGAAGGTTTCCACGTGAAGACATCGCGATTGGCGCGTAGGAAGTCGGTGAGCTCACTTTCCAATTTGGCCAGGAGCTTGGTCCCGATCCGCACCGTCTTAGTCGGGTCGGTGGGGTCGATCCCTATCGCCTTGGTTTCCTCAGTCGGATGGAAGGCACTTGAAGAGGTTGGCTCATTACAGCTGAGGACTGCTAGAGTCGACGAATTCCCGAGCTCTGGGAGCTCAACAGAGTTGATGACGGTAGTGGCGAGCTCGTAATGCTTGTGGTCGCACGTATAGGCGTGCGAAAAGGTGCTACCCATGGTGATGACGCCGTTTGGTCCCGGCATCTTCAGCTTGAGGTAGGTGTAGCTGGGGATCGCCATGAACTTGACATAGCATGGCCGCCCTAAGATGGCATGGTAGGACCTCAGAAAGACCACCACCTCGAAGGTTAGGACCTCTGAGCGGAAGTTGGCTCGGTCGCCAAACATGACAGGCAGGTCGATCTGCCCAAGTGGGTACGCCTGTGTCCCTGGGATCACACCGTGGAAGGGAGAGCTCACTGAGCCAAGCTCCGATCGAGGGATGCACATGGCGTCGAGGGTGTCGACATAGAGAATGTTGAGGCCGCTGCCTCCGTCCATCAGCACCTTAGTGAGGCGCTTCTTGCGGATGATGGGGTCGACGACGAGAGGGTAGCGACTTGGTCGGGCAATGTGGGAAGGATGATCTCTCTGATCAAAAGTGATCGAGGAGTCCGACTAGCTAAGGAAAAAAAGGATGACCAACTCAGCGGCGTATGCCTCTCTGTAGCGTACCTTGTGCTGGCGCTTGGAGTGGATAGCATCAGATCCCCCAAAGATCATGAGGCATTCCTTAGGGTTGGGGAAGCCATCATCATCCTTGCCTGCCATGCCTCCTTTCTTGGCCGCCTCCTCCTTGCCTTTCCCTTCCTTTGGCTTGCCGCAGAAAGCGCTTGAGGAGCTCGTAGTCCTTGTAGATGTGCTTGACGGGGTAGGCATGGTTGGTGCATGGACTCTCCATGAGCTTGTTGAAGTGGTCGTGCTGGCCCTGCTAGGGCTGCTTGCCCACTCGGTCGGCCGCAGCGACCAAATCTGGGTTGGCCAGTCGGCACCGATCCTTCTTGTTCTTCTTGCCCCTTTGTGCGGAGGGGCATTCGCCTTGGTCCTCACGCTTGGCCTTGCCCCTGTCCTGACCACTACTGAAGACCACCTAGATCGCCTCCTCATCGGAGGCATGGTTCATGGCGATGTCGAGCAGGTCACGGGTGGTATGGGGCTTCACACAGCCAAGCTTGTGGATCAAGGACTCGTAGGTTGTCCTAGAGAGGAACGCGCTGATGACTTCCATGTCGATGACATCTAGAAGGGAGTTGCATTGCTTTGAGAACCTATGAATGTAATCCCATAGGGACTCGTTGGGCTCTTGATGGTAGCTCTTGAGGTCCCAGCAATTCCTAGGATGGACATATGTCCCCTGGAAATTTCCGACGAAGACCCTCTTGAGATCTGCCCAGTCGCGGATGCTGTCGGGCAGAAGGAATTCGAGCCATGCTCGAACATGCTCCCCCACATAGATGGGGAGGTACTAGATGATTAAGTGGTCATCATCCACTCCTTCGGCTCGGCAGGCGAGCCGAAAGTCTTCGAGCCATATACCAGGGTTCGTTTCCCCAGTGTATCTGGCGATGTTGGTGGGCGGTCGGAAGCGTTGTGGGAACGGCGCTTTTGGATGCGACGACCAAAGGCCCGAGGCCCCGGGCCATTTGGGCTAGGGATTCAGTCGTTTGGTCGACCACCATGCCTAGGGTGCATGTCCCCGCACTCCTCGATGGTTAGGCCGGGGCCCGCGCCGCCTGGTCTCACCGCCATTCGATAGGCGTTATCATCGTGTCGGGCTTGGCGTCGATTGTTGATGATGCTACGTGCGTCACGGTTTGGCCCGAGCCATTCATGCATAGGTGGTCAGTGTGGAGCGGGCGTCGAGTTGGGCTATGGTGCAGCTGTGGCTTCCTGCTCCATGCCCGGCAACAGCTGCGGTGAGTGGACGGAGCGATTCAACTGGTGTAGCCCTAGTCCCCCGGTTGGGCAAAAGGCCATGAGCCGGTGTCGTGACACGGAGCTCTCCGCCGCTAAACGGCGGCAGTCTCCTCCAGCGCCCGGAGGTTGCAATGGATTGCCTGTTCCTGGGGGTCGGCAGGCTCAGGGAGGCCACAGCAGCGATATTCTAGCCAGCCCAAGCAAACTGAGGGGGGTTGTCCCCTCCATCCAGCATATTATGCTGGACCTGACAGGTATGACCCCAAGTGCCGCTTGCTGGGTTATGTGCATGTGGCGCAGCGTGATGCGCCGGGCACTCCGGCGTAGGCGGCGGCTGGCTCTGCCGCCTTTGCCATAACTCCTTGCCATGTTGTTGTGCACATGCCAAGGCCTACGCACAGGGGTCCAAAGAGGTGTGAGTCTGCAGAGACTTGACTACCTCTGGTGGCTGTCCCGGGACGTCCGCCATAGCGCACTCCTAGGACAAAGGGTGGCTAGGTGCCATGACGTCGCCGATGCTGGAGCCATCACTTTCGACCTCATCATCGACGAGGTCGTGGAATGAGGCGGGAGTGTAGCCCGCCATCCCCACGAACTCGGACGTGAGAGGGGGCGGCGTCAACATCCTTCAGAGTCCTCGCGCGCACGCGTCCATGGGGGACGCGAAGCCATAGGGGAACCGGTCGCACAGCGGTCGCGGTGGGGACAATGGGGTCCCTCCGGAGAGTCGGCGGAAGGTGTTAAATAGTGAGTAAAGAACGATATGTACATCACTCATCATGGGGTTTGAGCCCAGCATGGGCTCGAGGCGAAGCGTGGGTGTCTCGATGTTGAGGTCGTCGAGTGGCCCGTTGCAGTCGGGGGAGGGCACTCCCTCCAATGGGCGCCGGGACAAACGCCTCTTCGTGGAGGTGAAGCACGCCAAACTGGTCGGTGACAAAGTCCAGACTCCCGAAGAGAATGGAGTGGCACGAAGATGGGAGGAACCCACATCCCATCAAGTGGGAGCGTGGGAAACTCCAGCGAGCCGAAGCGAATCGTATCGCTCAAGCCCGCCATGCCGAAGATGGTGGAAAGGTGGGTCATCCGATGACCAAAGGCATGAACACACGACGTCCTCCCCACGGACGGCGCCAATTGTAGGTGCAAAAAGTGACCAACAAGTAAATATTTGTAGTTTTGCCGTGCGTTGTGATCGGATGTGGCCTAACACTCAATGACATAGGATTTATACTGGTTCAGGCAATGTGCCCTACGTCCAGTTTCAGTAAGTCGGTGACTTTATTCCTGAGCCTAGATGCTCGAAGTTTGTTGTGGGGTTACAAACGAGTAGGAACGGAAGGGGGTGATAGAGGTCCAGTCAGACTCTGATCCGAATGGCCGAGAGTGAGGGATGCTCTAACATGCGTTAAGTATTGGAGCATATGCTTTGTGTAGCTATCGAGTTCTAGAGCTATTGAGCTATTTGAGTCCTCAGGTCGTCGAGTCCTCGAGTTGTCTAGACCTTTCTTTTTTTTCTCGAGAGAGCTTTTAGGAGAGAGCTCATCCCCTTTTCTAGTTTAAAGGGGATGGCCTTACAAGTCGGAGAAAGAGAGAGAGAGTGTATATGTGTGCTACCTACTCTTGTTGCCCATGCTGTCGGGTACGAGACGGTTTTCGGGGCCCACAATACTGTTTATGTTTAGACGCATTTGGCAGGCTCTACCGTGTTCGTCTGGTACGGCAAACGTCGGTGCCTACAATACTGTTTGTGCTCTGACGCGTTTGGAAGATTGTATAGTGCCCGTCTGGCATGGCCTAGTGGCACCATCCTGCAGGTGCGCAGGGCATGGCAGGGTATGGTCCTCGGTATTGCGGTTGACTTGAGCGTCTTACCTTATCTGCACCGCCTGATCCCCGGGCCCTCACCGAGCGGGCGTCCCCGGTCAGTCGTTCCCAGTCGGTCGAAAAAGAGCAACGAGCAGAGGTCTGGTGTATCCTCGGTTGGAGAAGGAGGTTGGAGCCAGACTGCGGTCCCACCTTGGCCAGGCCTTCCGGTCAGGGACCGAATTGTTGTCTTGGCCTGTCATTATGTACCTGGGCCGGCCCAGGCGCGCATTGTCGCTGCGCCGCCTGCTAGGCCGGGTTTTACAAGGAAGCGGGTCCATTGGGGACCCCGGGTTTATGAACCCGATACCATCCCATGCCAAGGCCACAACATGGAAGAGGACGCATTCTAACAGGCCTTCCTTCAACAATAGGAATATAACCTACAAAACACCAAAATGCAAAATTTTAATTAGCCAAGTTTATGTCAAAGTTAGTTCTTGACTTCGAATCTTCCTCCATTTTGAATATAAATCTTAATTGTATATTGAATTATTCATTTTATAGATTTATTTGTAGAGTTGAATTATTTATGTAATCCTTTGCTGAACCTATTTGAAAATGAACTACCCTGCATCTATTTGATTGTTCCAACAAATCAAATTTCCTGCTCATTTCCTCCAACATTCCAGAACACTTCAAGGTTCAAAGAGGGAGAATATCAATTTAGTTTCCCTCAAGCTCCATGCCTCCATGAACTACCGATCTCAAATGACCTCTAATTTGGGATGAGCAACACCAAAGCCATTGGTCTGCAACTTGGAAGCGATGGCAAAAAGGATGCAGAAGGAACTATAGGTTCAGATACACAGGAAGGCAGCTGGGCAGGACAACACCTAAGTTCAAGCAATTTTGGGCTCGCCATGTGACCTAATGAGCATAGGGGTTAGGCCACAGAAAAGATCTACACGATGAATCAATCACACAACACTCCTAGGACAAAACCTCCCGTTGATTTTTTTTCTCGAATATGCAAAAGCTTTGCGTATCATTAGATTAAGTAGAAGAGTTTAGACAAACATACAACGTGCTTGTATCGAGCGCCCAAGGAGGTCAATCTAACACAGTCGTAGCTGGACCATCCTAGTAAGAGACCTCTAGATTCGATATTACATTAAAGAAAACAACCAATACCGACACAACGGTGCGACCTAGGAGGTGGACTTGTGTCCTCGCGGCTGCCTGGACCGAACAGCCGGGAAGAGCTCGTCCAGCGCTTCGGCTTCGGACGTAGTCAGGTCACCGCCGAAGAGCTTCTCATAGGCCGCCAGCTCCGATGCGGATGACGTTGATGGACCCTTGGTGAAGCCCATACGCTCCATGATCAACACCTCACATTGCTTGAAAACAGGTAGTCGAGAGAGGGGCTGAGCCGCCAACCGCCTATTCCGCCATGGCATCACTGGCTTAGCAGGAGGCTGCTTTGGAGGCTCACAAATTAGTGGAGAGTCCTTACGCGTCACTTCGTTGATGAAGCTATCGAGGCGGCGTTTGGCGGAGTCATCGTTGTCCTCGGTTGGGTGGGTATCCACCGACAGTGAACTGGGAGGGCCAACGTCCACCATGAGGTTCGGTGAGTCCACGGCCAAGTGAATGAAGCGCGAGGTGGTGTTCGCAATGCACAGGAGCCCACAGCCGCCGGGTCCTCATCCTCCAGCTGGGGGCCATCATTGCCGGGGCCTCATCTTGTAGTTGGGGGCCACCGGAGGTGACAATTGGCGCTCAAGAGAAGGCCACGCGACGATCCGACTGCTGGCGAGCGAGGCTGCGAATTCCTCCAGCATCGGGTCCTCCGTGATGTCGCGACCATGCATGGCGTCCGGGTACAGCATCAGCGTCAACGGGTTAGGCTGGACACTACCCGTCTCGCTGGACAGCTCGACGTGCCTAGGTTGAGCTTCAGCAACAACCGAGGTGAAGGCCGAAGTTGTCTGTGTAGCCCCTGCCGACCGCCCGTGACGCCTCCACCTTCGGCGCTGCCGACCACCGGTGGCAGGAATGGCGTTGGCCGACTTGACCCTACCTGAGTCTTTGCTAGCCACCATGGTCCGCCGGCCCAGCGGAGCAGGTGGGTGCTGCGGCTGGCGACCCATGGCTCTTGCATTGCCCAAGCTCCGAGAGCCCAAGCGCCTTGGCTGCTTGCAGTCGCGCGCAATGTGTCAAAATCCCCTGCACCGCAAACATCGTTGGGAAAACTTGCAGGTTGCCACCCAATGCGCGGAGGAAAGGCAATTGAGGCATTTGCCGAGAAGATCTGCCGGGATGCGCCTCGGTGGTCGACGACTTGCCGGCTGGCCTCCGCTTGCTGGCCCTCGTGGCTCAGCCGAGGCGGCCGCTGGTCACGTCTCCTGCCGGTGGAGGATCTCCCGCCATCCATCGGTGTTGGGGGCGGAGACCCGTCCGTGGTGCCCGAGGCGCTGGCATGCCGGGATACGGCCCTCCACTGGCTGAGCCGGCGTGGCGTACAACAGCCGTGGGCGCGGCCAACTGCATTTCCCGTTGATCAATCCTCCTATGAAAGGGATCAACCGGGATGCAGCACATAATTCGCATCGTAAGACTGTCTCCAACGAGACACGCAAAAGGCGACCCAAACATAAAATGCATCGTGCACAGTGTTTTTACGTCCCAAACTCATGATCCAACGGAGGACGCATTCAAGCCAGCCATTTTGCGTAGCAGCGGTGTCGGAAGGCAAAAAAAAGCGTCGCCGAGAACGACGACGCAAAACACACAGAGAGAGAGGGAGGAGCGACCGCCGGGGCCCGGCACAGGGGCGGGGCCGATGGAGGTCGGTGGAGGCGCGACTGCCGTCGTGGAGTCCGGATCCGCGCTCCACGACGGGCTCCCCGATGGGCTCTCCGCCGATGAGCAGAAAGAGAGCCGCTACGCGCCTGCTGCCGCGCGAGCGACTCTGCTCCGGCGGCCACGCGAGCAGCTCCGCGCCGGTGGCTAGGCGAGCCAGGGTGAGGCGGCCGCGGCGCACGCGTGGGCGGTGGTGCGGCGGCTTGCTGAGCTCCTCCGACGGCGGGCGGTGCGCGATGGCGGGCGGCCATGCTGAGGTCCGCAAAGGCGCGGGCGGCGCGCATGGCGTCGCGGCGCCGGACGGGCCGCGCGATGGAGGTCCGCGCGCCTCCGGCTCGCTCCTTCCTGCTTCGTCTCGAGCACGCCAGGCGGGAGCTCTCTAGCGAGTTGGCAGCGGCAACAGAAGCGCATGAGCTAGCGGAAGGAGGAAGAAATCAATCCGTCTCGGTGCTCGGCGGCTCAAGAGGAGGAAGGGAAGAGGCGGCAGGGCTCGTGAGAGGAGGAGGAAGGGAAGAGGATGCTCGGTTGCGTCCGATGGTTGGAGAGCGGAGTTTATAGGTCACGGACTTTTTCACTGTGCACGACCTAAACCGGGGAATGCGTCTGGTTTTTGGTACCTTGAGCGACCTGGTAGCCCTGGGCGTACTACGGCGCAGCGGCCGAGTAGGGTTGCTGCGGGGCCGGGTAGACCGCATACGACGCCGACGGCGGCGGCGGCTGCGGGTAGTGCTGCATCCCGGGCGGCGGCGCCTGGCTGGGGGAACCCGACCGCCGGCTGCGGAAACTCCCCAGAGGCCCTGGACGACGGGGGGCCGAAGGTGCCGTACTGGTGCGGGTGCTGGTGCTGCGGCGGCGCCGACGGCGGGTACCCGTAAGAGGACGAGGAGGTGTCCGCCGAGCGGGCCTTCTCGTCGGCGTCCGGCATCTGGCCACCTATGGTAGCTCCCGTGGTGGTAAAGGTTAGTTAGGTTTGGGGAATTGCCCAACGAAGGACGGCAGGAGAGGAGGGAAGAGACGAGGGCGGCACGAGAAAACTTGGAGGATTTGCGCGTTGTTGTTGCTTGATGAAGACGATTAACGTGTGCTTCCAGCCTGGATGGCGGTGTTGGTGCTTAACCTCTCTGTGTACCAGTTTGTAGAGTCAGATCTCATTTTAGTTTTGACAGCTGAAAGCCTGAAACGTGCTACATGAGGAGCAGGTAATAAGCACAATTTTTTTTCTTCTTCAATTCAAAGAGCCATTAGGTCCTTGTTTGACGTGATTCAGATGCCAGGATTTGATTGTTTCTTGTGTCGCAGCTCTCAACCGTACCAGCAGCCTGTTGTCAGGCTTCGGAAATTGCTAGGAACATGCAAGATTCTCATTGCTAATAGCTGTTTTTTTTTTGTGCAAAAGGAAACTTGGAGGTTTGACAACCCCGCTCAGATCAATTTAAACCAAACAATTCGCAATTTGCCAAACATGTCTCGTATCTTAGCATCGAAGTCAACAGGCTGGAACGTTGCTATCATCATAGTATATAGCCGCAAACAAGAAATAATGAGCTCCCCAACACGCTATTTTTTCACAACCTAGGGCTGCTGTGCAGAGAACAAGAGAGCTTCCACATGGACACGGTATATGTTTTCTTCTTTGATGGTTGTCATCCAGCAGAACAGACGGCTTGATTTTGATTTCACCTTTAGAAAAGAAAAGAATATCCTTTCAGCTTTTTTTAAAAGAATATCCAAATAGCATGGTTGCGGTTCGCAAAGTGTTTTCAGAAGGGCTACTTTATTATATTATCCTTAGCTTATTATGAGAACCTTGTGCAGCACAAGACGAGAGCCAGTCGAAACTTCATTCACAATAGCATTGTTCCTTTTGATCTCACCAAACAATAGTGCCTTGCCACATACAACCAGAGGCTACACCGGCCATTGACTGATTATTTTCATGCAACATCACAGGCTGCAGCAAACAAATTATTTAATGAACAACTCAGCTCTGGTGTCGATCCGGAGTTCATAAAGAACCAGAAGTGCAGCTGCAGGCTTCCACTGGAACAGCTCAGATCTTCGGTAGTGGATCCTGGATACCGCAGACCAAATTGGCAGGTACAGCTACATCCATCATCTTCGGATATGACAAGTTCAAGTCTGCTCAAGATGAGACCAAATGATCAGACTTCTTTCTTTCAGCCCAAAACAAGAGGATTAATTTGACAAGCAAAGTGGGCATGTCTGCAGAAATGTGGCATCCACTTGAGAGAACTTACTATTCATGATCGTCTTAAAAGTTTCCTGGACAAAAAATATATATAATTAAGAAAAAACAAAACATTGGTAGGTGAAATTTAAGAATTTCTTTTCTTTTGAGCTATTTAAGAATTTCAGCCTAAATAGAAACTACCGATTACCTTATCTTTCGTGAGTCGAGCATTATAGGCAACCTCCTCTTCAACAGTACTTACCTGCAAGAACATAGATCGAGTGACTGCTAGCCTGGCTGGTGAACTTCAAGATACCAAGCGACTCACCGTGAAACCTTTATAGTCATGAGCAGGATAAAGCAGTGTATCCTTTGGCAATGTGAAGATCTGATCAGATACAAAGCTTCAGTTAGTTAAATTCATATTTTGTCATACAATGATACAGGACAAGATTTTGCATGCTTGCCTGTGAATGCACTGACTGATACAGCTGATCAGAACTTCCTCCCTGCAACAATACAGAATAAATGCAAACTATTAATAGAAAAACACATCTACGGTTAACCAAAATTTCTCCAACATGAATTCAGAGCAACCAAAATTTCTCCAACATGAATCCAGAACTTTGCCTCGCAACTTCAGACGCTTGTATGTAATGGTGCTTCCTTAAGCTTTATATGATTAGAAAGACCACAATTACTATTTTCCTGTTTGCTAGCTTGTGAAGAAACTACCTAACCATATTACCTGGAAGTCTGTCCTTCCACATGCCCGGATAATTAGGGCATCACCAGTGAAAGCCATCCTTGGTGAGGGTTGCCCATCAGCATCCCCTGTAACATAAGTCACACAGCCAGAGGTATGGCCTGGAGTAGATCGCACCTGAAATGGAATATTTTATTTCCATATAAAATTACATATCCACCAATGCAACAAGAAATTCCTTAAAGTCGATCTATTTTAATGCACGTTCTCAGCTGAGGGTTGTATCTTTGTATGTCAGTATATGCATGGATTTTGTTCATATTTTAGCAGCTATTGATGTGACAGGAATTGCAATACATTTATAAGCACAAAATTTCAGTTCAGAGATTTCTGTTGAGAGCCATAACATATTTACAAACAACGACAGATGAGTTCAAAAGACGAACAGCAATAAACATACATGCAACACATTACATAACAACTTACTAAATCATTTAGATTAACATCACTTAATTTTCTATGAACTAACTTAAAACCATATTTGTAAAAGTCAACTGTCAAAAATTACACTCTTCAAATGTGAATTGTGTATAAACAACAAGTCGGCTTACAAGTATTAGAAAGCAGCAAAAAAATTACGGGAGACAAAAAAATGAACGGAAAACATACAGAATAGTTTTATAGAAACATGTTAGTATGAACAGTCCTGTAAGCAACCATGTATAGCTAAGCCAATTTAAGAATTCAAAGCCAACTGAGAATTCAAAGCCAACTGGCATTCATTAAAAAAATGCTCCAAAGTCCAGACTCTTGTATTTAACGGAAGCATAAAAATCTTCAACAGAAGTTACCAACTGCAACTTCTACATTTCATGAAACACACAACAACAACAACAACAACATAGCCTTTCAGTCCCAAGCAAGTTGGGGTAGGCTAGAGTTGAAACCCACCAAGAGCCCCAAGTCACGGTTCAGGCACTTCAATAGCTGCTTTCCAAGTACTCCTATTCAAACATTTCATGAAACACAGGAAATTCTTTACAAAATCAGGACCACTCACCCATTAAGTTCAAGAAAACCAAAGAGCTTAAGAGAACTAGTTACAGTATTCTCCATGTATGTGAGATTTTAAATCTTGGAATTTATGTATACTAAATGAATAAAGCAGAACAGAGTAAAGTAGCTTGTTCAAATGTGGTTGTACCTCAAGGAAAAGGTTACCAAAGTGTATTTTGTCCCCATGATCAACAAAATGATCAGCTTTTGCTCCACTAGCTTTTGAAATAACAGACTTAACTCCAGGTAGCTTAGCCTGCAAGCTCATACCATTAGCTAACCATATTACCAAGGAAACAAAGCATGTAACTGTGAACAGCAAAATCCATCAAAACATTCCTAGAAGCACAAAATTGCTTACTTTTATTAGTCCTGTTCCAGTGACGTGATCAGCATGTACATGAGTATTCATAGCATACACGAGCTTTAAGCCCAATTCCTTGATAAGATTAAGATCTCTGTCAACTGTTCTGTCGACAGGGTCAATCAGCTGATCGCACAGAATAAAAAAGATCAGATGGAATCATGGCGTTGACCAAATGTATATATTTATACATCAATCAGGTATGGATAACATTATTGTAGCAAAAAACTTAGTCAATAATTGCTTCTGCTTTAGTTAATAGTTTAATTACTTATGTGGTGTATCCTATGGCAAGTCTTGAAATTTTGGTTCACACTGTTAGACAAACCCACATGCACCTCAGGAAATTCCAATGTAATATTCAATAAAAGGGAAAGGGAAAAAATTATCCCTCAGTTTGCTTCAGTCAATACAATCCTGAAATTCTGGACCATTTAAAGCATGGCTTTCTAATATGGGAACCCTTAATACTGGTCAGATGCAAACATGAATCGTTGAAACTAAGTACTGAAATCAGCCATGGCCCATGGATGTAGGATAAGCAGTTTCAACTCCAACTACTACAAAATTACTGAATCGATGCAATCCAATTGAACAAACTGAAGTCACTTCCATAAGTTATATAAATGCAGATTCTGAATTGACGAATTACAATCGTTCTCACTGATTGCAACATACAGGGAGTAGTACCAGTTGCGCAGATGACAGGCAAATCAGTTAATCCTGTTGCAGATTTGTTCACTACTAATAATTGCACCCACCACATCTACATTCCGATGCTACAATGGTTATGGTTTGAACTCGACGCAAATAATAACAGTTCAGTTTACTGTGTGCAGGCACATGAAACCCAATATTGGCCATGCGATCAAGCTACATAGCAAATCCATTCCCGCCAAAATTAACCACCCAAGCCAATGCCAGTCCAGTTCCAGGAGCCAAAATAGCCCGAAGCACTGAGCCAATCCCAATCCCAACCTATGAAGAGCTGGATGGACTCACCACGGCGGGCTTGTCGGGGTCGGCGACGTCGGCGAGGAGGTAGGTGTACGTGGAGCTCTCCTTCTCGAACAGCTGCCTGAATAGCAGCCTCCTGTCCGCGCCGGAACCGGCGCTGTACGCCGACGCCATCGCGAGGGCCGGTAGTAACGGCGCGCGCCGCAGGACCAGCCGGGGAGCGCAGGAGGCCGCGGGCGTCAACCTGCAGGCTGCGGCAGCCAAGCGCGGGATCAGGCGGAGCGGAACAACCATTGCCCCGCCCCCTCGCCTGCTATATACTGGGAGGAAGGGAGGGGGGACGGCCTGGTTGTTATCGCGGCGATTTGGACGGGGTCGTGGACCTCGCGGGTGGCGTGGTTCGGTTGCTTTGGGAGGTGGGACGGGCCGACGAGGCGACGATGAACGATTCGAGTAAAGAATTCGGGCGGGGAGCGAACGGGCGACGGGGGCAATGGGGATGTGGCTAGTTCGCCGAGGGCAGAGGAGCCGCCGGGAGAGGAGGGCAGCTGGGAGCGGACGCGAGGCGAAAAACCGCGGCGGAAGGAGTAGCGTTGCCTGGAGATTTTACGAGAGGAGTCGGCGACGGGACGTGTTGCCCGCCGCAAACTGACGAGGTTTCTGTGCATCGGCATCTTGTCGCGATGCTCAGCTCAACGTTGTCGTTTAGTAGTCCATTCATTCAACCTGATCGGCCATCCAGAATTCAATATTTGTACTGTACCGAAAAAAAATTTTAAAAAAAAATTTCCGACCAATCGACATCCATTTTGAGACTGTAGTGTTAGGTTGATCTCTCCACTAAAATTGGCCCAACGGTTAACTTAGGCTTCGATCCTGCGTCCTGATCGGGGGCGCCCAACCCTATATGGTTGGTGGGCTTCATCGCACTGCGCTATATAAAGTGATGGGAGCCGACGGCTCACGGTACGAGGGTCACCGGTTGTCACAAAGATTCCCACCGATGTAACCTTAATCCGATCTAAGGCGCAGTAATGCGCGAAGAAGCGCGTTACCACCGTCCTCCTCGACTTCATGCGCCGCTTTGACGCTGTCGTCACATCGACGACCGCCGCCGCTCCTCCATCGACCCCAATTCGACAACGTCTTCTTCACCGACGCCATGGCCAGCTCCTCCGCCAAGCCCACTCGATAGTCGGTAACACATCCCCTCTCTCATCCTCTCTCCTCTCTCTAGTTCATGTTCTAGGACGGATCTATGTGTTCTATCTCAAATATAAAGGTTTCACCCGCTAGATCTACTTCTAAATAATTCTATAGTTATAACATTGGTATCAGAGCACATGTAGACGCAGATACAGAGTAATTTGGCCAAAAATAGACACGAGTAGTCGTCATTTGAATGAAATTGAAGAAGCAGGCAGCACAGCTTGTCTTGGTGCAGCTGTGAATCGTGTCAGCTTTGCATTACATCCGACAAATCACGAGCCATGCCGTGAAACGCTAGTGGTCAGTGACATCATGCATTACATACTGCGGAAAGGATACCGGACAGTAGAAGTTCTTTTTTTTATCTTTTGTTCAGCAACTGGACAGTAGCAGTTCTGGAACTCCCAATAATTAAAGGCCATAAACTGAAGCTTGGGACATCTTTGCGTATTATTAATTATTATACAGTCGGCGCGTGGGTGCCATGTCGATCACTTGCGTATCCAATTAAACATTTTTAAAACGTATCTTGAATTCTTGATTTGATTCAACCTTTTCAGCCAGCTTATTGATAGGGCACCAAAGATGAATGCCAATGGAGGATTAGCTTCGCTGTCGTCCGATCAAGCGAGCCGAGTAATCACGCACTTGTTCAGGTGGATACCAGCAGTGCCGAAAAGAAAAAGGTCCTCGGATCAGCAAACAATTACCAGTTCTGTACCTGCGTACACTGCACTTGGACAGTTGACAGCATTTTTTTACGTCTGCTGATCCATCTCTTTCCGTGACCTTACCTTAGGTTGGCATTTGGCACGCAGGCATTCCATCTCTTTCCGTGAGAAAACTTTGCAGTCGGCAGCGTACTGCGTACTTTTTTCACCGATAACAAACAAAATGTCAGGGATCTACGAAAATTCGATACGCATCTTTCACTTAATTATTTATTTTTTTATAAACACTTATTTTTTATTGATGAATTAAAGCTTAGTTTACACAACTGGAGACCGGCCCAGGGGTCGAGCCGCCGTTGCTTAAGCCTTGGGCTGTTGGGCCTATAACACATGGGACCAAGGTTAATGTGACACATTTTCATCCAAAATTAAGTTAATGTCTAGAGCCCAGAGGCTGTGCTTTTTGTAGGTCCTCAGGCCAAAAAGTTTACGTGGCCCAACATCATAATCGAATAAGGCAAAAACATCTACCCTACAGTATGTATGCTATACATTCACACCGTGTGAACATACAAACATACACCATAATCTCATGAAGACATGCATATCTTAAAAATTGACAAAGTCATTACATGTGTCTCAATATTGACTGACACTCTAGAAGAAGAATAATTAGCCAAAGACATGAGCACCCAAAAAAAACATAGCCAATTCAACTATGATTAGTTTACTAAAACATGATACATCTCTCTGCACATCAAGAAAATTGACCTATGATTAACATACATCGTACATGAGTGCCAGATGTTCAGATTTATCATCGATGGATAGCAAGGAGTAAAGCATATAGGGTCGGGGGTGCACTGGGTGCTTCTGCCTAGGGCCCACCCAAGGAGTCTAGACCCTAGAATACAACCCCCAACCCTGTAGCTTAACTCCCAGGCACACCCCAAGAGGAAGCAAGGAAGGCGAAGTGAAGCAATGATCAAGGAAACGGAACCATTCGTCCGTCTCCAAGTCCCGGGCGAAGAGCCCATGTTCCGTCTCCCATGACTCCCCATGATCCCATCTCAGTGTGTGATAGGGCCTCCAGCCTCCTAGTTGCGATCGCGCGTGTGATCAAGAGAGTGCCAAGCCATCGACTGCCGAGGAAATGGGAGGGCTAAAGGCGATCGGTGACGCTGTGACGGGCACATGACACGATGGCGTTGGCTTCACCTTCAAAGTTCAAACTTGAAACTTCAGTTCCTCTCCCTCACGCAATCAAAATTCATGTCGTGACAGTGAGCAAGTAGGAGTCCCCAGCTCTAATCTCCAATTTTCTTTTCTGTTTGTTCTTTCCAATCTTGTTATTAGTTCTAGATAGTCATAATTGTTAACTGATTAGGGTTGCTTCTTCTTTTGCATCAAGATAAATGTCCGAAAAAGTATCATTGCATGAGAAGCAATAGATGTTAGTAGCGACGTTACAATGCCAGTTCTTACTATAGAACCCATTCTACCTGGTTTGGCGGTTCCAATCGTGCTAGAATAGTGGTGTTGTAGTGCTGTTAGTTCCAAAAACGCTACAGTAACGACGCTATAGTAGCATTGTTGCAGTACCGGTTATGATTGGTTTCAATAAAACTACAATGTCCGAGCTACAATAATGATGCTACAATACCATTTTAACCTGTTTTCATCCTTGCTATAGTGCTAGCTTCGACTGGTTCTAGCCGTACTGATGACGCTTGAGTACCCAAGCTACAATGGCTATGCTACAGTGACTTTTGATTGGTCCTTCTTTTGTTTTGTTGTTTTTGGTGCTGCGTCATTGCCCACAAATTATGGTAGTTTCTACTCGTCTTTACTTTTATTAGGTAAACACACGAAACACGATTAGTAACCATTTTATGCTGTGTAGGTTTGATGTGGATGATTTGGAAAATGAAGAACGAGATGGTGTTTGAAAAGACGCTGCTCGACTCACTCCACTGCTGCCGTTGCCGCCTGACTCAGCTCCACCACCACTCGATTTGCTCCTCCGCCGCCGCACAACTAGCATGCAACCGACCCGTTGGGCCAAAATCATTCTTTATTTGGGAATAGTCGACCTTGAATTGTGAGTCGATTTTTTTCTCTCTTTCCCATGATTCGGTTGCTCTCTTTATTTGGGAATAGTTGCTGGGTGGATTCATCTGGCTTCCACCTCGGACGTTGGGTTGTTTTTCTTTTTCGCATTGGAGAAGCCCTAAGAAGAAAGGAGGTGTATGAGCCTGTCGTTTGGAGTTGGTGTCTTCATTTGTTCTGGGCTTAATTAGCTAGCTGGTAGTTGTTCTAGATTTTTGGGGTCTCAGCTTTGATGGCTTGAGGTATTTCATTTTGTAGAGGTGTCTGTGATCATGAGCAGTGTGCTCACTGAACTCATGCCTCCTATAAAACTGGTTTCCTCATATTAACTTTGACTGTAAACTTTCAATAAAAGCTGAGCTGAGAGGTCCATTTAAAAGTTTCGTGAAACGTCTTTCGAATGATATTTATTTAATATATTAATCAAACTTATTAAGATAGTTTAACTGACACTATTATGAAATTGTCTTCTTTTTACGACAGATGAAGCATGCCCATCTCCGGATGCATAACCACGCGCGCCAATTTCCAATTTCCAGTTCTCAGGGAATCATGGGTCTAGTTTCGTAAAAGAAAATTATGGGATTATATTCCCCTCAAAAAAAAATATATGGGATTACTACTGGTACTCCGATACACCCTGTGTCTTAACAGGTTCGATAATGTACATAACGTACACCCTGTGTCTAAAAAAATATTATTTTAGTTATATTCAGATTCAAATGCCTGCATCCACCAGCGTAGGCAGATGGACTAGCACGTACTCCTACGTATACATCACCTCCGACAGTGCAGTAAAAATTTGGCCGAGACAGAGACTACTGCGCACGTACACCTGCAGACTGAACTACTACTGTCTACAGTCTACTAATACCGTGGATGCTGATGAATGCGTGGTACTCTATCCCGGCGGCCCGCCCTCGGCCGGCCAGTTTCTCTCCGCTTCACGGGAGGGCGGTATCGCCCGGAAGCCGCCAAGCTCGCCACCGCCGCACCCACATGCGCTCGCCTTCCACTGTTTGTCCGCACGCCTACAAACAAGGCCCTCCTTTCCCTCGTTTGTCCCGCTCTCGCGCTGCTCCCGCCCGCTGTCTGTCAGCTCTCGCGCTACCGGCTGCGGGATAAGGCAAGCTTGTCGATCGCCTTGGTGCTTGGTGCTTCCAGTTCCAGCCCAGCGCTTCCTCTGCATTGCATTGCACATCGGAAACAATGGATTCCTCTAGAGGCATCCGCTTCCTCGTCCACCGCCGCGTGCTGCTGCTGCTCGTCGCGTCGTCCCTCGTCGGCACGTCGCGTGGCAGGGAG